TTTTTTTTTTTTTTTTTTTTATTTTGACCCGTTCGGGTTTCGGGCTCCGATGAGCTTGTTACCATATTTGGGGTGTTTTAGTCATTTCATGACAGTTTTTGGGGTGCTGTATCCTGCGTTTTTAGCATATTCTCGTCTTATCAGATATTTGTTGGGCCGGTTGGAAGTTGGATTAGACTACAAATGGGCTGTAAAGCGGCCCAATTTCGTGAAAACACGTGGAATATGGGGGGAGGGGGGAGCAGAAATAAGTGAAAGTGTACAGCTAGCCACTAATTAGAGATGTTTTTACTTTTTACCCACTATTTAAAATATATTTATTCTTTAGCCAGTGCTTAATAAATTTTTACCCGCCCGAACAAAAATACCCTTGTGCTAGACATGGGTGTTATGTAAATATTAAGGACGTGTCCTTAACTTCATGAATGTTGTGTAAATATTAAGAACAAAGTGTCCTGTATTTGCACCTTCCGTTGTTAAACTTTAGGATATCATGTCCTTAACTTCGTATGTACAGTGTAAATATTAAAGATATGGTGTCCTTAACTTCATGTGTGTCGTGTAAATGTTAAGGACACAATGTCCTTAATATTTACACAACACTCATGAAGAAAGGGTAAAAACGTCTTTTCGTATTAATTTTAATAGAGTAGTGGCTATTTTTGCTCAACATTAAAAATACTGGATAAAAACTAAATACCATATTAAAAAGTGGCTATCCCACGCCATTTCAATAGTAATCACAATTTAGTCACTTTTTTATATAAAGATAAAATTTGAACAAAAACATCCTTAAAAAATCAAAAAAAATCCAGCATAATATATTGGAATTCGTACTTTTTACATATGAGATTCCAGCATAATGCGTTGAACTTCCAACATAATATGCTGAAATTTTATATGCAAGAGTTTCATAATGATCATATCATATTATATTATAAGTGTGAAGCCCATATCAAAAGATTGAAAGACTAAAATAACCTTTTAAAATTAAGAGACTATAATACCCTTCATTAAATCAATACGTTAATCTACTTTTTTCACTAATTTTAGTACCAATATTCAACTATTAAATCTAAACAGTTAAGGTATATTGTTGCTCTATGATGAGAAACACCGTTTCGAATTACTCGGACAATCAACCGTTTCAAATGGCTTTACATAGTCCCAACACATGACGTTTTGGGAACCAGAATTCGTATTTATTTGTCTTATATGTCGGCCATGCCTCAATTTAGAACGTCATTTCCCCAATCACACTCAACACTTTGGTAAACAATAGACACCATAAATGATCAAATATGCTACAGCGAGCCTCCAACCTTCTCCCTTTGTTACACCGTTCCCTAAAATAAAATTTTCTGTATGTGTTTTTAATGATTTATGACTTGCGGGGATGGTTGGTTCGGGATTTGGAAGTGTTTGGGTTGAAATCGGGACATTTGGTTATTTAAGATGGCTTTAAAAGACCAAGTTTGACTTCGGTCAACATTTTGAGAAAATGACTTGGAATAGAATTTTTACGATTCCAACAGCTCCGTATGGTAATTTTGGACTTAGGAGCGTGTTCGGAATTTTATTTGGAAGTCCGTAGCTAAATTAGGCTTGAAATGGCTAAAATAAGAATTTAAGGTTGGAAGTTTGACCGGGGAGTTGACTTTTTGATATCGGGGTCGGAATCTAGTTCCGAAAATTTTCATAGCTCTGTTATGTCATTTATGACTTGTGCGCAAAATTTGGTGTCATTCCGAGTTGATTTGATAAGAATCGGACGAGCAGAAGACTTTTTAGAAGTTTTTGAATTCATAAGTCAATCCATGCGTTTTGACATCCGATTCTTGGTTTTTGATGTTATTTCCGGATTTTGATCGCTCAAGCGAGTTTGTATGAGGTTATTAAACTTGTGTGGATAGTTGGTGTGGAGCCCCGAGGGCTCGGGTGAGTTTCGGACGTTCGGAAGGAACGAAAATACATCAGTTTTCTGGTGTTTCTTGGCAGCAGTTGCAGGTCTCGCAAGTGCGAGAAATTGTTCTCAAATGCGAACCTCGCATTTGCGAGAAGGGCTTCGCAATTGCGAAGAAGCCCGACCTAGGCAGTGTTCGCATTTGCGACACATTTGATGCATTTGCGATCCCAGCAGAGTTCGCATTTGCGACTCTTTGGTCGCATTTGCGACCCCAGCAGCTGAAGGTCAAGCTTCGTATTTGCGAGAGTTGTGTCGCATTTGCGAACCTGGTGTCGCAAATGCGACATCAGAGGCATGTGCCCAGCTCATTTAATGCGCGACTTAGGCCATTTATCTCACTTTTCTTTCATCTCTTGGGCGATTCTTGGAGCTTTTGGAAAAGGGCTTTCACCTAGCACTTTGAGGTAAGTTAATTCTACACCCTTTGAGTTAAATACATAGATTATGGGTAGATTATAACTAGTAAATCTTAGAAATCAAGGGTTTAGATGAAAAACCTAGATTTTTATAAAAATGGGATTTTAACCACGAAAATAGTCATGGAATTGGATAGAAATTATATATTTGAGTTCTTGAGATTATGGGTAACGTTTTCATCCGAAAATTTTCGGAATCCGGGCACGTGGGCCCGAGGTGAATTTTAAGAATTTTATCATTTTGTATAGGGTAATTTATTTAATAGGTGAATTTTGAATTATTGAATATATATTAATTATTTTATATAACTTTTGGATAGTTTCGGATTTTTCGGCATCGAATCGAGAATTTTACGTGACGCGATAATTGGAAAGTGGACTTTGAGACGAGGTAAGTCTCTTATCTAATTTTGTGAGGGAAAAATTACCTCATAGGGATTAAATTGAATAATTGTTGCTAATTGCGGGGGCTA